AAAAAAAAAAAAAAAAAAAAAAAATTAGGTGTCATGAGTGGAAGAAAAAATAAGAAAAATAAAAAAAGCTTCCCACTACCCTTTAAATTACATCTAAATGTCATATGATGGACTTATAAAAATCTTACCTCATCCACTTATTTTTACTTCCCACACTTTTATCTCTAGCAACTCTCTTATTTGCATTCCATAGTCCAGTCATCCTGAACCTTTTCCAGTTCCTTCAACAAGCGCTTTTCCATCTTGCTTCTGAACTTAGCAAATGCTATTATTTCTAAACCTAGAACACTCTTCATCAACCTCTTCATATGCTTAAGGCCTACTGTAATGGCTAGCTTAAGCAAAATTACTGCCTGCGTAGAACTGTCCTTGATACTCCATCCTCAAGCCTGAGTTGAAGATCTGTCCTGTATGCCACTATAGTGTCCTAGAATTCTCCTATGATAGTGCTTTTTACACTACCTAGTAGTTTAATTCAACTGTCTGTGTTCCTCAAGAAAAATCACAAAATCATAAGGATTATATCTATCTCAACTTCTAATGAAGTCATGGAGCTGACATGGTATCTGGGATATAGCTGGCATTCAATGAATATTTGTCAGTAAATTCAATTAATTTAATTAATGAGTAAATGGAGAAATGTATAGATGAATAGATAGGAAGGAAGGAGGGGCACACAGATAAGACAGATTCAGGGAAGAAAATAAGGCAAGTTACATTCCAGGTTTTTTCTTAATACATGTTCCTTAAAGTCACCTGTACATTTTAGTTATTAATAGTCTTTCTGCCAACCCTTCTAATAGTTAATTCCTGAATACTATATCACAGCAAATAAGACTCTAATTTTTGATATTGTTAATTAGCAATAAAAGGGCCATATATCATCTTCATTTAAATTTGTTACAGAAACTAAAAGGGCTCTAAATCTGATTCAACAAATATTCTGTCCTACTACTTTTTAAGAGTTTGATTCCATTCTGCAGCATGTTTCATAATTTCTATTTATGATTAACACTTACAAGTATTTAGCAATTAGAATATACATGAATTCATTAATGCCTGTAATCCTAGCACTTTGAGAGACCAAGGCAGGTGGATTACCTGAGGTCAGGAGTTCAAGATCAGCCTGACCAACATGAAGAAAACCTGTCCCTACTAAAAAAAAGAAAAAAAAAAAAAATATATATATACATATATATACACACACACACACATACATGAATTCAAGAAATTCTATTCTTTAATTTTATGTAAACTTTAAAATGAAAGTAAATGTTATTAATCTTTTTTATAGATATCAATACCCTGGATTTTTCTGATATTTCTGCAGTTAACCTTGCAAGTGGTATTTCCATAAAATAGGTATATTTCCAAAACTAACAGAGTAAACTTCTCATATTGAGGGATTTAACATTTGTGTATTCAGCTGTCTTCCAAACATTTAAAATCCAATGTGTTTATGAAAACCACAGTAAGATACCACTTTACATCCATCAGAATGGCTATGATCAAAAAAAAAAGGGGGCAGAAGGCTACGTACAGTGGCTCATGCCTGTATTTCCAGCACTTTGTGAGGCCAAGGCAGGAGGACGGCTTGTGCCCAGGAGTTCGAGACTAGCCTGGGCAACATAGTAAGACCTTATCTCTACAAAAAATAAAAAATTAGCTGAGCATGGTGGTATATGCCTGTAGTCCCAGCAACTCAAGAGGCTAAGGCAAGAGGATCACTTGAGCCCAAGAGTTCAAAGCTGCAGTGAGCCATGACTGCATCACTGCACTCCAGCAGACAACAGAGTGATACCCTGTCTCAAAAAAAAAAAAAAACAAAAGTTAAACATAAAAGCTATATATAATCCAACAATTCTACTTCTGAGTATATACCTGAAAAAAACAGTGACTCAAACAAACACTTGTACACCAATGTTTACAGAAACATTATTCATATTAGCCAAAATGTGGAAATAGCCTAAATGACCATGAACAAATAAATGAATAAACAAAATGTGGTATATACAAACAATGAAATACTATTCAGCCTTAAAAAGAAAGGAAATTCTGATAAATACTACAACATGGATGAACCTTGAAGACATTATGCTAAGTGAAATTAGCCAGATACAAAAAGATAAACATTGTATCATTCCACTTATATGAAATACCTACTATAGGCAAATTCACAGGGACAGTGAGCAGAATAAAGGATACCAGTGGCTGGGGGACAGTGAAAATGGGGAGTTATTATATAATGGTAGAGTTCCAGTTTGGGATGATGAAAAAGTACAAGAGATGAACAGCAGTGATGTAGCACAACATTGCAAATGCATTTAATGCCACAGAATTTTACACCTAAAAATGGTTAAAATGGAAAATTTTATGTATATTCTACCACAATTAGAAAGAAAGGGAAAAAACCCAGTGTGTCCTACCATCACATTAATTCAACAAGACAGAAACTGAAATTACCATCCCCCAAGCCAAATTCCAGACTGAATTTTACCATTTCAAAGGTGCTCCCTGGGGAAAAAAAAAAATTAAGTTTAAAATATTTGTGTTCCTTCTGTTTCTTCTCACTTCAACGCTCAGATCTCATTTATCTCTAAGTTCTAGAAACATATCCTTCACATTACTCATGCTCTCTTCTGATACTATCTTAATATATTGTTTTATCTATAGATAATAGGCTTTTATAATCTCTCAAACCTCTAAACTTTACCAATATAGCATAAGTTTACTTTGTTAAATATTTAAGCTAACAGAAGTACGTGAAGTTTCAATTAAAACAGGTTTAGGCTTGGTGCAGTGACTCACTCCTGTAAAATCCTACCACTTTGGGAGGCTAAGGCTGGCCCACTGCCTGAGCTCAGGAGCTCGAGACCAGCCTGGCCAACATGGTGAAATGATTTCTCTACTAAAAATACAAAAAATTAGCAGAGCATGGTGGTACACGCTTACAATCTCAGCTACTCGGGAAGCCAAGGCATGAGATTGCTTGAACCCAGGAGACCGCTCCACTCTAGCCTGGGCGACAGAGCAAGACTCTGTCTCAAAAAAAGAAGGAAAAAAAAAAAAACAAACAGACAAAACTGGTTTAAACTGTTCATTACTATAAAATTAGCAATAAATCTATTAAGTCCTAAGCCTGATCAAAATTACTGCTTGATTTTGAAAAAAAAGAATCCTTATTTATGTTGTCCATTTATTTTCTACTACTTCACATTAATCTTCCAATATGACCAATGAACATTTTACACTTACCTTTCTATGGTATTCCATAGCATCTAATTCACCTTGATTGAAAACAGCAGATCTTTTACGCTTCTAAAGAGTAGATAAATTATAGGAAAAAAATTAATGTTGCCATTAATATTTTGCTTTTTCATTAGCACATTTTGCATGTAGTATATCTCAGTCTTTAAGAGTAATAATTGTCTACTGAGGTCAAAATCAATGCAAAGGGTATGGACTGAGGAGGTAAGCTTTCCCAAATTAAAAAAAAAAAAAAAAACAACATAAACAAAATGAATTGTAAAAGGTCACCTCAGCTTTATCTGTTATTAATAAGCACTAGTTCCACATGATAAAGTATAGCACCAGCACCCATGAAATACAAGGAAACTATGACACTGTATGACATTATCATACAGTGCCATCTATCACTTTATATATGGTATAATTCTTCTCAATTTTCTTCATTCCTGAGAAGAGGAACTAGCCAGACGCTATCATCAAAAGAAATTCCAATGTAATTATGGCTGATCTGAGGGTTAGGTATGAATAAGATTTATATTAACACTGTTCTATATCTAACAATTCCATAGAAAAGAACACATAAGACCATCCAATACAGAGCAAGGACTGTGTACTTTTTACTGCTGAAATCCCAGTGCTTACCTTGTGTCAAACTCTTAGCAGGCTAAAAATAAATGTTTGTTGGCTAAATAAACAAATGGACTTAATATTGTATAATTTGCTTTAGCATATCAGAAGGTGTCATCAAGATTACATTTATGACATATGCTCATCTATTTTTTCCATGTTATGAGAAATTTACCCAACCTAAGAGATTGAACATTACAAATTAATGCCCATACCCTGTAAACTATAAAGTCCTTTACAAAGGCTTGTTATTATCTGAATTACTTATATTACAACATACTATATTACTAAGACCTCAGACAACACTATATATTTTCTTTTGTGTGTGTGACACATAGCAGACGGTCAATAAATATCCGCTGAAAGAAAAAGGGGGCTGGGCACAGTGGCTCATGCCTGTAATCCCAGCACTTTGGGAGGCAGAGGCAGGTGGATCACCTGAGATCAGGAGTTTGAGACCAGCCTGGCCAACAAGGTGAAACACCGTCTCCTCTTAAAATACAAAAAATTGGCTGGTCATGGTGGTTGATGCCTGTAGTCCCAGCTACTTGGGAGGCTGAGACAGGAGAAGTGCCTGAACCTGGGAGGCAGAGGTTTCAGTGAACTGAGATCACACCACTGCACTCCGCCTGGGTGACAGAGACAGACTCTATCTCAAAAAAGGGGGGGATCAGCACATGAACACATAGAGGGGAATAACAGACACTGGGGCCTACTGGAGGGTAGAGGTCAGAGGGTGGGAGGAGGGAAAGGATCAGGACAAATAACTAATGGGTACTAGGCTTAATAACTGGGTGATGAAATAATTTGTACAACAAACCCCTATGACACAAGTTTACCTATATAACAAACCTACACATGTACCTGTTAAAAGTTAAAAATTAAAATTAAAAAAAAGAAAAATATGCACAAGAATAAAGTCACAATATTAAAAAGTTCTACTTCAGAAAATTTCTTTTCTTTATTACTTTCCGTATTCTAATTTTCAGCAAACTTTCGTATTTAATATCTTTCTTCTCCATTGGATTATAAGATCTATGAGGGAGGGATTATGTCTATCTTGTTTCATCTACTCTGTGTACAGTGGCACATAGAAAGGGCTGAAACATTTGTTTGGTGAGTAATGAATGTTAATCCTATCACTAAAAAAGAAAATGCTGATATAATCTTTCTAAAATGGACTTTGTAAAATCACCTCTAAACTCCTGAAAGATACAGAGTATTAAAGCGTAATTAACTTGATCCTGTATGGCATTCCCAAAACTCTACTAAAAGATTGCACCAGTGTGAATATACAAATATATATATACTTTACAAACAGATACACTTACCACAGGAGCTTTCTATTTCGCTAGAAACTTTTAAAAAAATCACCCTTCTTGCAAATTTTATTACATGAGCATATCTCCAAGGGATAGCTCTCTAAACATCTCTTAAAAACCACTGACTGCTACATTCCAACAACTTGACATGGATTTTTTAATAAAATATATAAACACTGCTTATTTTTTTAAGCAAAAGCAGTTGTAAATACATTCAATTAATACAAATGCCTAATTAAGAAAACAGATTTTTGAGGGGGTCTTTGGGTGGAGGGGGTTGTTGGTGTTGTTTTGTTGTCTGGGTTTATTTTCTTTGGTTAATTTACAGAGAATTCACTTCCCAGCCAACTTTGCTTATTTTTTAAATACAATGTAATTTGGTCTTCTAAGAATTGTAGAAGCTAGGAAAAAAGCTACAAATTATTTTGGATATGCTAAAGCCTTTTTGGGTTCTATTGTTTCTTCTTTATACTTAATGAATCACCAGATACTTAAGACATTTAGATGATAAATCTCATTTATGTTTTCTGCAGAAAAATAAGTATTTCTTAAAACTTTCTACCTTCTCAATAATAGAAATGGAGATTTCTTTTTCAACACCATTCATCAGATCTTCCTTTTCATTACTTTGCTGGCATTCTTTGTGAACAGCTGAAGTTATATAAGGTTTGGTGACATCAAACAATTCAGGTCGAAAAACAAATTTTTGTGTGAACATTTCATAATATCCTCCATCATCATTCTCTGGCTTGGTGGTACAGTCCGAAGCAATAAATGTAGCACACGCTCCAGAGGAGGACACAGAATCCACTTGAAGAGAATCAAAGTAGACAGAAGTAGTGAACTCATTTTTACTGCAACAAGGTTCGTGATGCTGGTGAAGTCGATAGTTTATCTTGTTGATAAAAGAAAGATGATCCAGTAACCATCCAGCTGACAACTGGTGTACCACAGACATTCCCTTCCTTCAAAAAAAACCCTGGTAGTTAGGAACTAGAAGTAAAATCCAACTTTCCAGATCAGCTTCTTAAATGTCTTATATTTCAACAAACATATACTTCATACACACAGATAGATTCGATGCACGAGTATGTAAACCAGACAGGCACACTGAAGAGAATTTAGCATTCACAAAATGTTAATATATACAGAAATTCTAAGAAAATTGCAATGTTTTAATATAAACTTTCTTTTTCATTTCTGAGTTGATAATTCAACATTTTCAGCCAACTTGGCCAAAGGGGGTTAAAACCTGATCTTGTTTCTGGAATTCCAATGGGTCCTCCTGTCTTCCTGGGTCCCACATGACTTCTTGCTTTGTTCCTTGGGTCTAACTAGGTCCACATCTTCCAACTCAGGAGTCATTGAATCCTTAAAAGAACAAAGTGTGCTGTAAAAGCAAAGAACACTATATTACCTATGTGAATTCAGCCTTCTTAATGAGATAAACCTATCTAGAGAGGGGCACAGAATTTCAGAAGGTGCGCTTAGCAGGTCAGTCCTCATTTTTTCAAACTGTCATATTAAGTCTGCCCTACTTAATCACTACTACCAATGGAGTAATAAGTTAAAAAGAAAAAATGTTTCTAGTCAAGTGAAATACAATTTTAACAGCACATCAGAAGCACTAAACCCTAGCAAAACAGCAAGGCTGAGAGTCTGAATCTGTAATTGGTTCTGAGCAATACCCCTTGGATAACTGGGTTTCTCAGAACTAATCTTTTTTTCTAAAGATGGATTACAGTTCTAGATATTGCTTTCTAAATCCAGTGCAGTGGAGAACTTAAGAGGGGACAAAATAAGAAATAAATGAATGCTTAATGGCACAATAAATAATCATAGTATTTAATTCAAATTTCTAACTCCATGAATGATACTGTATGTACATTGGTTTTCATACACAGTTCCTGGTTCACAGCCGCTGTAGCCTTCTTGAGTGCAGGGGTGAAGGTTGAGTTGATCACCAGTGGTCAATGATATCATGAATCATGACTATACAATGAATCTGGGAGAGATGACACTATCTCATGACAGAAATAGTGTCAGAAATGAATCAGAGGGAAGAAGGAGCCCACCTAAGAGTGACAGTGACACAAGATGGCAGCCACCACCGGCTCAGGAGTAGGAATACCTCACAATTTCCAACTGTTGGAAGAACTCGAAGAAGTCTAGCAAGGAGTAAGAGATGGCACAATTAGCAGGAGTTTAGAAGATGATGAAGACATGACACCAAATGGACAGGGATGATAACTGGGCCTCCAAGAACAATTTATGAAAACTGAATACATAACCTTAAATTAGAATGTGGACCTAAATACTCAGCAGCACTTCCTTTTGTAAAATGTGCAACAAAAATTAACATGGAGTTAACTGTTCTAAAGAAGTGGTGGACTCAAGAGCCATTTCAGTCCTAGCAAACAGCAGAATTCACATAGCATCAAAATTGTCCTGGAAGAGGCTGAACACCTAATGACATCTAAGGAAAACATGAAACTCCCTCAGAAGCCTGAAAGACAGTGTTACAGCCATTAGTCAAAAAGAAAAACCACAGGTCCTTTTTCCCACCCCATTAAGCAGTCTTCATTTTCCACAGTAGTAAATTTTCTAGATACATCTTATAGACCCCAAAGTACTTGAAAGGATCCTCCTATTCAAATGAAATTTAACTTAAGATACTGTGAATGATAATAACTTTTTTGTCCATTTGAAATATATAAGTTGTGCTATAACAAATCACTTGTCAAATGACAGGATCAAGAAACTATATTTAAAGTGATTCCCATCATAAATGGTTGGGTACGTTCTAATAAAACTGTGGAAAGACATCACACAATTACCTTGTTGCTCATTACATGGCCTGGGGTCTCTGCCTTCTCCCACTACCGCTCTCCCTGCCTCCCACCCCCACACCATGCAACAGCCCTCTAGCCTGGGAGGCTTTAGAGTAGATGTCAATGTCACAGCCTGAGTGTGTGGGCACCTCTGTTTAAGCAATGATGTTCCTTCCAAACCACTGTCCTGACCCCACCTCTTCCACTCCCGCCCTTAGCCAAAGCACAGATTAGCCAAATCGCTCTGCTCCCCTCTGAGACTGGCCTTCTGTGAGGAATTCAGGGCTTTCCCTATATCTCCTCTCCCCGACCTTTATCAAGAGATGCGGCCAGGTGCAGTAGCTCATGTAATCCCAGCACTTTGGGAGGCCAAGACAGGTGGATCACCTGAGCTCAGGAGTTCAAGACCAGCCTGGCCAAGAAGGTGAATCCCCATATCTACTAAAAATACAAAAAAATTAGTCGGGTGTGGTGGCACACACCTGAAATCCCAGCTACTCAGGAGGCTGAGAAAGGAGAACACTTGAACCCGGGAGGGGGGAGGTTGCAGTGAGCAGAGATCACGCCATTGCACTCCAGCCTGGGTGACAGAGTGAAACTCCATCACAAAAAAAAAAAAAGGAGAGTTGCTGCTCCCACCCCGTCAAGTCTCTTTTTGCACTGTCACCACCCAACATTTTCCATGACACTTCCTTGCTTTGACCAGCCATAAAGTAAGGTTGGAAGCACATTTATTCACTCTCCACCAGCCTAGGAAATGAATTTTGGGTCCTCAGCCCTGCCATCTTCTGCTGTCATCATCAGCTTTTTAACTCAGGTTTTGATATGGGGAAAAGAACAGGCACCAGGGTAACTCCCCTGGGCTCTCAAGAGTCATTGGTGGTTAAACCTGGAAAAAGGCCACATGAAGACAACTGTAAGCACACATGAACCCTCTGAATTGTTTTCTTTTCCTTCAATTGTGTTTGCTCTTAAAAATTGAAGTTTTAAACAGGGCTCTCATTTGGTCATCCTTGCAATCCATTGGCGTCTAGCTTCGAATGTGACAACTGGAACCGAAAGAACCTTGAATTTGGTGCATACTTTGGTTTTGGTGCTGCTGCTTCTCAAGATCCTCGGCAGGGACTAAGTAATTGGGCAGCACAGCAGGAATATCAGGAAATTAGCAGGCTTGACTTCCTGGCAAATTGCCGCCAGGACCACTAAAAGCTGAACTATGTCTGTATACCGAAATAAAAGCAATTCTTTGTACTAAAGTTTTCTTTTAATTTTGTATTTGTGTAAAACCACCTTTTGAAGCAGCAGCTATATAGTCTGAAAAGCAACTGATGTTTCCATTAATCTTTTCTGGGGTAAACGTTAGTTCTAAGGATTTAACAACCTGTAAGTAAAGTTTAACCTAACAGTATTCCACGAGGAGACTTTTTATTTTCAACCTGTTGCCTAATTTTAATATAATTTTTGTATTAATATAATCTTTGGTTTTTCCCCATCCCCTTCATAGTCAACAGCTGAGATGAAAGGGTCCTGGAATAGCCAGTAAAAGCTAGAAATTCAGACCGGAACATTGAAACTCAGAGCAGAACGGCAACTTACCCAAAAACAACAATGCTGGTTAATGGCACAATTACTACCAAACCCAAGTATCCAGATTTCCTGGAGCTGTGAGTTCTTCCATTACCACTACTCTCCAGGTACTGGGCAGTGCCTGTTTCTAAAGTCAAACTCAAAGAAGCGAGAAAATTCTATTTTAGCAAAGTGATATACTGTTATTGTGGTTAGTGCACCCCTCTCCTGCGTCTCTGCTTCACATCCACTCCCTCGCCGCCCGTCCCCAACCACTTGGATTCTTGCTGGCTTCTCTCAGGTCAGCCACCACTAGAGGACTGTGACACTCCCGCAAGTGATCAAATACTAAGCCCGAATTTCGGCGGCAGCCAGGCCAACGCGATCCTTGGAGCCCACTGCACCCACTCTGCAGCCCCTCTCCTACCTCACCGCTTCCCTTGTCAGAAAAGCGGACGCCGCCTTCCCAGACTCTCCTCATGAAAACAGCACCCATCTAAATAGTGATCATGAAAAACGTCCCTTTCAGTACACAGAAAAAAAAGCTTTCTCCTTCTCTAAGAGTTCATGGGCGCCGCCATGTTGCTTTACGGAAAAACGTTTCCAGGGGGAGGTGGAGTGTTCAGGCCGCTCCTCCGCACTCAGGCTGCCCACAGACCTTCAGAGTTAAATTTAGCGGACGTACCAGACTTCGTAGGGACAGCTACGCTGGCCCACAGACGCCAGTGTCCTGGGAAGAGCGGCTGGGCGGGACCAGCACGCAAAGTTCCGGCAACGAGGCGGTCGCAGAAAAGTTACCTCACGCGTCATGCGTAATGACGTCAGCGCCGGCGGAGATTTTTTTCAAATTCGAACGGTCTTGGCGGGCAAAGGAAGGACCTGGTGTTTTGATGACTGCTGTCCTGCCTAGCGGTTACTTGCACGGTTTACAGAAATTCGGTCCTTGGGTCGTGTCAGGAAACTGGAAAAAAGGTGACTAATGACATAGGGTTAACTTTGTTTCTGCAGAACCGTTCTGGAGAAAGAAAGTGATGGCGCCAGTGACTTAAGTTTAGAGGTCCTGAGACAATGTTTTGTTGTTTGTTTACTGTTGGGAGAAGCCTTGAGGCCAAAACTGAGTGGCGCTGTTTTCAGGGGGTCGATTAAATTTCTACTAGCAACGATTTTCGAAGGGGAGAGGGGAGGGCCTGGGGAACACGGATGAGGAGTGGAGGCCACAGAGAGGAAAAGGGGAAAAATTGAAGGGGACGGAAGCAGATGGACAAGAGAAGACGGGTGGGTTGCGTCTGAATACTACTGTAGCTTCTTAATGGCGGTGTAAGGACTGCGTGTAGAAGTCTTCATCTTAAATCATGAGAGCACATTATAAGTGGAGATTAAACGGGGACGCACAGGTGTGAGTGGAAAAGTTGAATAGATGAACAAGCGCTCATTGAAGGACAAATAGGCGGCCAAAACGAAGAAGAGTGTAATCAGTGGAAAAGACTAGGGAGTACCCAGAGAAGCAAAAGAATAGCCACCTTCCTGAAAACCAGGGCAGGACCTGAGAAAGCTGAATGCAGAGATGAGACGGGATCAAAAGTTTTGTAAATCATGTGTATCTTAGGAGACAATCTTTTTAGCAGATGTGAAGGGAGTGACCTGTTAATATGCTTTGTAAATTGAGGCAGCCTAGAAACCGTTTTGTAGACCAGATGATTTTTCCTCGTTGAAGGGGAGATTGATGCCAAAAGGGTAGTAATTGAGAAAACAATTGGTTAAGGATCGAGCTGGAGAGACTGACGTTAGGAAAACAATAGTTTGATTCTCTGAAACCAAAGAAAAGGAAACATTTTTAGGTGAATAAGATAATTTGAGTTAATTGTCTTCCTATTGAAATAGGCACAGCCAACAGCAGTAATGTGGACCAGGGCTTTAGCTACCACAGATACCCTGTGAAGGCAAAAACCATAACTTACTCATCTTTGCATCTCCTGCATTGCCTAGCACACTCTTATACATAGTGGGCAGTTAATAAATGTTTATGTTGACTATTTTTAAAGGGAACTAAATAGTTATTCCCTGCAAATGAGAACTTAAGTGTACATAAACAACTAAAGATACCCCAGGGGAAAGATGATGATCTTGAATAAACAATGAAACCTGACTGCCTTTTTGTTTAAGGATAAACACTTGTTTAATGTACCATGCCTGTGTGGAAAGTTTGGTGTTTTCTTTTTTTTAATCCTGAATTCGTGAATGTAGATCATAAGCATGAAGCGCAGTTCAGTTTCCACCGGTGGTGCTGGCCGCCTCTCCATGCAGGAGTTAAGATCCCAGGACTTAAATAAACAAGGCCTCTATACTCCTCAAACGTGAGTATTTCCCTTGTGGTTCTAACTTGCATGCTTTATCATCTTAGGCAAAGAAATCATAAAAATAGTTAATACAAAGATGTAATATGAGTGATGTCTTGGTGAGTCTTGTCTGTTCCCAGGGGTACCTAATTTTGGATCAATGAAGTCTAAAAGTGGGTGTGATACTCTGCTAGGTGTCGTGTGTCATCTCATTTGTTTCTTAAATTCCCAAAGCCAAATGCTCTACCAGGCACACCTTAAAAGGACTGTTAATTCTTCTTCAGTACTCTCTTTTTTTTGTCTTTTATTTTAGAGCTACTTGTTTAAGCAGGCTCTATGCTGTAACTTAGAGTTCACTGAGATATTTTCAATTAGCAAAGCTCTCAATCAAATCAGAGGAAAAGTATTTGCTCTCGTAATACGGTATAATATAGTAGCAGCCTACAAAACACCACTCCTCCAAACTCTTTCCTCAAGATTTGCTGAAAAAATATCTGAAAGAACTTCTACTGTATAGCTTTTCACTCTGAGTGATCTTCCAGATAAGAGAAGGCTATTTGTAAGCCATTATAGAGCTGTATCAATTCTTCTCTAATACTCAACTTACTTGCTAACTGATTTTAAATTACTTGGGTTTACATAGTATAAGCCTATGGTACTTTTAGACACTTGAAATATTTATATATTTTTCCTTTTGAATACTGTAAACCAAGAAAATATTTGTGCTGTTATACATTACATACACCAAGAAGACTTTATTCCTTTAATTGTATTAGAAGCTAAAAGGTCACCATGGTCAGTTTTTTTTTGCCTATAGTTTAGATAATGTAATAAGTGCAGCTATATTCTGATACAGAGTCTCTAAAAGAAAAAAAAATTGTAAATGTGGTTAAGATAATGGAAATCATAATGTAGATTGGATTTTTGTTCTGCAGAGAAGTCAAAGACTTAAATCAGCATAACAAGCCTTACCTTTGACCATTTTGTCTTAACTGGACTTCCCACCTACATCTGTCTTGGCAAATAGGTGAAATAAGCCAGGAATAGACAGTTAAACACCACGTTTCTCATAGGTGCAAACTAAGAAAAAGTTTTATCTGTAGCATTAAAAAGTAAAATGGATGCTAGAAGCTGGGAAGGGTAGGGAGAAGATGGGTATACAGAGAGATTTGTTAAAAGACACAAAATTATAGCTAGATAGGAGGAATAAGTTCTGGCGTTCTATAGTACTGTATAATGACTATAGTTAACAATAATATATAGTATAGTTTTAAATAACTAGGAGGATATTGACTGTTCCCAACACAAGGAAAATATAAATGTTTGAGATGATGGATATGCTAATTACCCTGATTTGATCACTGTACCTTATATGTATCACAGTGTCACTATGTACCCCATAAATAGGTACAAATTATGTGTCAATTTTTAATTCTTTCTGTTAATAATTTAAAATTAGAAAGTAATAATAATAATGATATTTAGGCCTGAAAGTATGTTCTATGTCTTTGGGATGCAAATTTGCTATCTCGTTCTTTACCTTCAGGGTTTTTTTTTAACTTTGGCTTTGCTCTTTGGAAATGCAAATTTAAGGTAGAAAATGTTTAGATGGTTATTAAAAATGAGATGAGTAAAACAGATGTGCTGAGGTTAAAACAAAGATTAAATCTACCAAAGAGTACTTGTACCAGAGGGACCTCTGGTGGTCCCCCAACATTACAAGCATTGTAACTTATATTGCCATGTTTACCCCATCCTATTTAAAACAGCTTTCATGACTTTGCTAAACATTTTTATGATTTTGAATTATTTTTATAGTTAGTAGGGAAAAGTTGTTGGTTCTATTTCTAAAAGTTTCTTGAGCTAATTTTAATTTTTATTTTAAAGAGTTGTTTTCTATTTTTCTTAAAGCAAAGAGAAACCAACCTTTGGAAAGTTGAGTATAAACAAACCAACATCTGAAAGAAAAGTCTCGATATTTGGCAAAAGGTAATGATATTTTTTATTAGCTCTAAAAAGGAATTCTTATAGCCATACATTGTTGCCCTCAGAGAACACATACATTAGATGACGTGGTTCCTTTTGAGAGAAAAGTTATAATCTCATTTTCCTCTGTTTTTAAATGGTTAAAATTTTAGGTTATATCTACTTTAGACAGTATAGCTAACATATTCAGACCACTATTTCATTGTTAGAAGTAAATAATTGATTGAAAATTTTCTACCTAGCTTTCAGACACAGTGGAGTCATTGCATTTTAAAATAAGGAGTGGCCAGGCATGGTGGCCACGCCTGTAATCCCAGCACTTTGGGAGGCCGAGATGGGAGGATTGCTTGAGTCCAGGAGTTTGAGACCAGCCTGGGCAACATGGCAAGACTCTGTATCTACAAAAAAAAAAAAAAAAAAATTAATTAGCCAAGCAGGCATGTCAACCAGGTAAAGTGGCTCACACCTGTAATCCCAGCACTTCGGGAGACTGAGATGGGAGGATTGCTTGAGTCCAAGAGTTCGAGACCAGCCTGGGCAATATGGCAAGACCTTGTCTCTAAAAAAAAAAAATTTTTTAATTAGCCAGGCATGTAGACCAGGTGTGGTGGCTCACACCTGTAATCCCAGCACTTTGGGAGGTCAAGGCAGGCAGATCACTTGAGTCCAGGAGTCCAAGACGCAACCTGGGCAACATGGTAAAACTCTGTCTTTAGAAAAAATACAATAATTAGCCAGGGGCAGTGGCACATGCTTGTAGTCCCATCTACTTGGGAGGCTGAGGCAGGAGGATCACTTGAACCCAGGAGGTGGAGGTTGCAGTAAGCTGAGATGATCACACCACTGAACTCCAGTCTGGGTGACAGTGAGAGACTATCTCAAAAAAAAATTTTTTTTTAATTTAAAAATTAGCTGGGCATCATGGTACACACCTATAATCCCAGCTACTCAAGAGGCTGAGGCAGGAGGTTTGCTTGAGCCCAGGAGGTCAAGGCTTCAGTGAGCCATGTTAGCGCCACTGTACTCTGGCCTAGGCAATAAACATCCTGTCTCAAAAAAATAAATATAAAATGAGAAAACATTATCTCGTTTTACATTTTAGTCTTTTTTACAGTCTAAAAGATTAATGAGAACTCCACAGAGCTTTTGTTTTATGGGCTATATCTGTCAATATTAACCATAGTAGAAAATAAAACTGAGAAAAATTTAAAACATGTATTCAATTTAAAATAACAACCCATTACATGGTAACATAAATAACATGTTTTTAAATTTTAAAAAACATATTTTCAAAAATAAAACAATTTCAGTAAGAAAAGTTACATTGTTTTTGAGTTTTTACAAATCTCTTGTGGCTTAATAGCAGACAGCTAGATTCCAATACTTGCTTCTGCATTGAATCTCTTGCAATATCATACATCATGGTACCAGCCTCTGGAAGACTCCACCGTAC